ATCTTGTTTAGTTTATGATTGCAATTATCTCCATTTATCAGAGTTAGTGTTTTTGCTTGTATGTTTTGTAACATTGCTGACACACATTAACATTAAATACATTTTTAATTTGTCTTTAAAGTGTTTTGTCTTCAAATATATTTGAAAGCTTTTCATAAAAGAATAGAATTTAAAAATAATCCCATTCCAGTGTTATGTTGCAGCAGAAATTTGTTCATTTGTTGGTGTGTATAAGTAGATAATAATGAAGTTATTTTGTTTTTGTAGTCAATAAATACTTTTTTTCTACTCCCATCTAGTACGTGGGAGACCCTCCAGTACCCTCCAATGTGCAGACACCACGGTTGTCGACTGTCAGAGGCTGAGAGAGCTGAGGCCACACAGACTGCATCAACACTGGTTCTGTGGCCAAAGGGCTGGAGTGGATACATGTCGAGTGAGTTGGCATGGCTTCTAACCTTATACCCTCTCTACAGTCATCACAAGTGTTACAACTTTAATATGGTGATTATTTCAGTATATGGTCAAAAAGTCTATAACACACAATATCTCTCTCAAAGGGCGACTCTGGTGGAGGAGTGGTGTACAAAGGCAAGATCTACGGTGTCCATTCATTCACTGGTAGTACGAAGTATGCCTGTCGAGAAGCAGCTGGATTTGTGGACGTCTGTGCATACATGCAGTGGATCACGAATACTATTAGGGGACCATAGAGATGTCTGATGTGTGGTCAACTGTGAAATGTCCTGTCATTTCACAGACATTTCATAGGTACTCAGAAAATGGTTGAGTTACTCTAAATTACCAAAGAATACATTGATAGTTGATTGGTTATGTTTAAATGTTCAACCATTATTTGTGAAGCCCTTCAAGACAAACAATAACTGTGATTTTGTTTGAGTTACAAATGTTAATTAACACATTCTTGCCTTTATATTGTAAATAGAGTAAAAGAAATATCTAAAAAAATTTAAATCAGAATTTGTAAAAATACAATTGTACTTTTCCTCATATCTAAATTTGATGGATTTTGCCAGTTTACAGTCATGAAATTGAAAACTGTAAAAAATATATTATAAGTATTACAGTCTGCCCTTCTTTCAACAATACTGATAATGATAAATGACTCTTCTTTTACAAGATTGTGTCAGTTAAAATAAAATTAAGATGACTCACTATCAAGAAAGTGTTGTTGTTTTTATTACTTCAGCAAGACAAAAAAATTTACACAAATTTTCTGCAAATGTAAAGCTCCAATAACCAATGGGTCCCACTCATGAAATGTTGGTAAATCTGTGAGTAGATCTGCACATAAAAGACCGGATTCATGAAAGCCACGGAAAACTCAGATTTGACCTGTGAACATGCTGCAAACAAAGAAAAAGTTTATTATTAGGAGTGTGACAGGGACAGGTAAATCAAAGGCCTGGAAGGACGTAACGGGTGCCGTTAACTCTGTGCTCTCTGTTGTAAGAACCTTCCACAAAGTCAAGCGAAAATGTTTGGTAGGAAACTTGAAGCAAAAAACACACAAAAAAACCACAACAGCTACAGGAGGAGGCTCTTCCATGTCTCAGCTGCAGATGAGTGCAATGCTTGCATCATCAGAGAGACCTCTCTGTCAGGAATTATTCCTGACGGAGACGGCAACATGCCTCCACTGTACATTCCGACAAACATCACTGATAGCTCAGTGTTTGGTCAGTAACGTGGGTCTAGCAGTCTCACCACTCAAACAGAAGTTGACCCTTTTTTGAAATGAAATTTGTAAAACCACAATCATACATTTTTGCATATGTAAATCCAGTTTATTTGTTTTTATACAGTTACTGATAAATTACTAAGGGCCAAGGGCTGATAACAGCAGGACTCTCATTTCAATGGTTGTGTCAGTCAATATAAAATGAAGACTTCTTATCGAACATATTGTTATTGGTTTTATCATGAAGGCCTTGATTTGGACAAATGTCCACTTGGACTTAACAATAAATTGATTAGACTTTGATGGTCAAAGGTCACTTTTACCTCGTCCATCTCATTCTTGTGAACTCAGTATTTCAAGAACACCTTGAGGGAATTACTTCAAATTTGGCACAAACATCCACTTGGACTGAAGGATACATTGATTTGATTTTGGTGGTCAGAGGTCACTGGGACCTTGTGTCAGTCTCATTCCCGTGAACACGATATCTCAAGAAAGCCTTCAGGGAATTTTGTCAGATTTGGCCCAAACGTCCACTGGGACTCAAAAAAGAACTGATTAGATTTTGCTGGTCAAAGGTCAAGGTCACTGTGACCTCACAAACACTTTTATAGGCCATAACTCAGGGGTCAGCAACCTTTACTAACAAAAGAGCCATTTTTAGCCAAAACATAAAAAAAAAAAAATCTATCTGGAGCCGCGAAACATAATAAACAACGTACTGTAATAAAGGTAATACAGTCTTTTAAGTTGAATTTAGCCCATCAATATTACTAACTCTAAATCTAAAATCTAAATGAGCCTTCATCAATACGTTTTAGCACAAGGTAGCTAGTCTGCAGTGGGCTAATTTTGTTTTTGTTTTTTTGGTACTTTAACTTTGCAGCATTGTCGATTAAAGCAAACAAATTTGTGCACGCACTATTCAATTCTCTACTTTTCCCCTGAGTCTTTACTCTTTTTGGATGTGGAATCCACAGCTAGCCTAGATTGGGAGACTCAAGAATACTGTAACCATCGCTAGTGATGTTTTTAGAGGTAAAGGCGCCAGGCTACAGATGATGCAGATTTTAGTTGAGTTTAGTTGAGTATTTATTAAAACAGGCTATGCATTTTTACAGTTGAAGAATGTAAGACTCACTTTAAGCCTACAACAACAATGAAAATTAAAATAAAAAAACAAGTTGTTCACTTCCATATAATTTTCTGTCAAAGCCACAAGGAGCCACTGGAGATGGGCTAAAGAGCCACATGTGGCCCTGGAGCCGCAGGTTGCCTACCCCTGCCATAACTCAAGAATTCATGTGCTAATTATGACAGAATTTCACAAAAGTGACTAGTAGGATAAGAAAGTATGATGTTTTACACCCAAAAGGTCAAGGGTCAGCTTCACTGTGACGTCATAATGTTGTAATGTTTCTATGGTTATGTTGACGCTCTCACTTTCTGGTGCACTATCAATCAATCAATCAATCAAACTTTATTTATATAGTGCCTTTCATACATCAAAAATGCAACCCCAAAGCACTTTATAGTATAAGCATCATAGATTTCATGCTGTTCAAATGCTTTGTAAAGGATTTTCTATTGAATGTAATTACACAAATATTTAATGCTTCCAATAATGTGTGATGATGTCACCAAGTGAAAGTATGATGTCTAGCAACTTTTAGTGACTTTTGGAGCTAATGCTAGCTTCTTTCACCGGTTATGGCTTGGTTGAGGTTAGGCAACAACACTCCTCGTGTCATTACTGCTCAGGGAAAATATTTAGAGTTTGTCACTTGTTACAAATGTCTCGGTATTTGGCTTGATGACTCCCTGTCTTTTAAACCTCAGGCTGATAATCTTCTTAAAAAGCTGAGGCTGAAGTTAGGCTTCTATTTCAGAAACAAGTCCTGCTTCTTCGTCTGAGGCCAGAAAGAGACTGGTTGCTGCTTTTTTTTTATCCCAGTTCTGGATTATGGTGATTTGTTGGGTTAAATATGTATTGGATAAGTTAAAAAAAAAAAAAAAAAAAGTGGGTTACAGGTAGAATAAAATTTACCACAAACCACAAGTCACTGAGCTTACGGTGCAAAAACCTACAAGTGCCACCAGACAAGAGCAGGAACTGTTAGTAAGTGATCAAATTTTGCATAAATGCGTAGAGCTTCACAGCCAAAAGGGTTGGCTGATAAGCCTTTAGAAAGTGATTGGTAGCTGCTGCTGCTGCTGCTGTGACAGAAAGGCAGTCATTAGATAGTGGATGGCAGCAATGGCTCATCTGATGCTTCTCCTTTCGCTGTGCATTGGTGAGTTTTCAAATACTTTATCTACATAGTTTATACTTATGATGCTTACTTTAACAGTGTTACTATTTTTGTCCATAATGCCTTTTGAAATGATGTAATTTTATGTCGAGCTAACCCATCATGGACTGTTTCTGCACGTCTCACTCATCTTGACTTATGTGTGCATTTGTCTGTACTGTATGTTGCTTTAAGGGTTAGGGTTAGTGAGATATAAGTCACTTCATGTAGTATCAGAACGTAACCTTCTGGGACACTACATCTTCATTTAAAGGGATAGTGCACCCAAAAATGAAAATTCAGCCATTACCTACTCACCCATATGCCGAGGGAGGCTCAGGTGAAGTTTTGAGTCCTCACATCACTTCCGGAGATCCGAGGGGGAAGTGGGTAGCAGCACAACTCCACCTAATGCAGACTGGGCACCCCAGATTAAAACGTCCAAAAACACATAATTGAAACCACAAAATATCTCCATACTGCTCGTCCGTAGTGATCCAAGTGTCCTGAAGCCCCGACATAAAAAGTTGTTTGGAAAAATGTCATTTAAACTCTGTTTTTAGCCTCATTGTAGCCTGTAGCTCTGACTGCCTCTCTGTGCACCGTGCTCACGTGTAAAACTTCACCTGAGCCTCCCTCGGCATATGGGTGAGTAGATAATGGCTGAATTTTCATTTTTGGGTGCACTGTCCCTTTAAGGACATTACATTTTGGGATTGCTGCACTTTATATATCTTTATATATCATTTTGCGTAACTTAGAACTGTCCTCGCACGTGGACACTTTTGTGCGCCTTCTAGCCCTGAAATGGTCTCTGGATCCTGGGGGATACAGTCATTTGACAGGCTGTGTGGGGAGGGGCATCAAGTGGGTGCACTTTATATCATGAGAAACACTGAAGGTGGGGATGAGTCATCTGCTCAGGTCATGTGGCTTCATGCCATCATTCAAAAATATACTGATCATTTGTATCAAAATCCAAAATGACAGCCTACATTGTCGAAGACATGAGGTACATGTCAACACATTCACTCCGACCTCATCACATATTGATATTTGCTCATGGACTTTCCACGTCCACATACGACGTGAAAGGTGCCCTAGGTGCATCGTTTTTTGATGTTCTGTCTTCTTTCAAGATACACTTCTGTTTTCACAGGTAATCTAACGTTTGCATACAGTCTCTTTCTAAAGAAATGCACTACATCGGTGCAACAACAATAATCAGCAATCGGCCTGAAGTTCATCACTAATAAAATGCAGGGAATATGGTGTTTTACTTAGAAATGATGTCCTTGTGTTACTAATCCAGTAGAGGGCGCTCCGACTCCTTTCATGTCATGCTCCACACCCCAGTGACTCAACAGCAAAGACTGAAGAGCCGACAGCAAATTTACTGAACCAAGCAGTTTGCCACAGTGTATTTAAGCCATCAAAAGCAGGTATTTCGGGTTTTTTAAAATTGAAAAATATAAAAATTTAATCGGCCAATATATCGGTTATTGGATTTTTTATTCCATAATATCGGAATCGGGATCGGCCCCACAAAATCCATATCGGTCGGGCCCTAGTTCTTTCTTTGTTCTTCTTTAAGACTTCTTTAAACTTTTTAGGTCTCAAGAGGTTAATGCTTTTGTTGTCGTGCATGCATGAAATTTAGCTTCGCAAATGTTCTCAACGCGTTTGTCAGGTCAAAAGGACCCCACAATGTATTTTGGTGAATGATACGGAATGTAAGAAGGAGCTCTAAAGTGGATTTGTAGTTGTGTTTTAAGGGGTTACCATAGCCCCAGCCAAGTTATGGAGACACCACATAGACACCTCAAGAACTGTGACTGGTCTTCTAAGGCCTGCTTGTGTTTCCACAACAATTTTCCAGTAGTTATAAAGACATTAACACGAAGCATAAGCTCAGTAATCTTCTCTTCAGTAACACACTCCTAGCAAGGCTGTTCCACTGCAAACCTTCTGCTCACCAATCATCCATCTCCGTCATAGTAAATTATCCAGTTCTATGTAATCTAAAGCAAGATGCAGCCGGATCATGAATAATACATAATTTTGCTGCTGTGGAAATCCAACTCTTAACTATAAATCAAGACCTATGCCAAGACATCCATAATTACCATTTGAAATCGCAGTCACATGCTGGCGGACCTTCTCTTTCAGGTGTTACAGTCAGCACAGTGCTCGATCTGCAGAAGAGAATCATCCGAGGTAAACCATGCGAGCGTCTGTATCATGTCAAACTGAGAGTTGCTGCTGGTGTAACTTCCACCTTGTGTGGTGGTTCTCTGATAAGTGACCAGTGGATTTTGACTGCAGCTCACTGTTTGAAGCCACGAGGGTGAGAAGACAACATCTTAATAAAAATACAATGCAGGGTATAATCAGACAGATATAAAAGTTTTAATAAAGAACACGTGAATACAAAATAGATGAGAAATCGAACTGGATGATTGAATGTGTTTTATCATGCGATATTCACCTGTAACCTCTTCCTGTGTTAAGGACTCTGTTCGCAAATTTACGTGTGGATCCAGATGGTCCAGTACAAGAAGTGCAAATCACATCAGAACCTGTGATTTATACAGACAAAGACGACAACGGCAACAAGAGGTCCCATGATGTCATGCTGCTGCAGCTACCTGTCCCCTCTGCCATTCAACCTGTAGCTCTTCCAGACTGTGAATATCATCCTAAAATGTGAGTTGTGATTTTTTTCCATCTCGTTGTTAGTTTTAAAAGTCTCAAAGTTTCTAGAGGTTTGATTCAGATCAGGGCAGCTGAAAGTCACCTCACTAAGTTTGGATTTATTTCTGGATATGATCCATCCATCCATCCATCCATCCATCCATCCGCTTATCCAATCCACTTATCCAATCCGGTTCCCAGAACACCTCCAACTGGAGGCGCCCAGGAGGCATCCAGATCAGATATGATCAGGATATGATCAGTGCCAGGAAAAGTCCAGTGCAGGGCAGCCTCGAAGATCTCTAGACCTAATGACTGATTACCAGCTAACTGTAAACAGTAAAGTGAGCATTTTGCATCAGCTACACCGTCATGTACCTTTACACTATGTAACACCAGAGAGATAATGTCTTATCTGATCAAGATTTGCTATTTTGAGACCATTTTTCATTGCAGTTTAGAAGATGATGTATCCATGTCACTGTGGAAGGAGTGAAAAGAAAACAGCCCCTCTAGAAAAATGTGATTATGCGATCGCATAATACAATGCGTAATCAGCCAAAAGGCGCTGATCATGCAAGGGTCACGTTTTTTGGGAAATAGCGCATTTTCACCGCAATAATCGCAGAATTTAACATGGATTATCAGACGTATTATTATGCGACGCTCATATTACCACTGGTCTCCGAGTCTGTTGTTGTTGAAAACAAATCCTTCTCAGATGCCGCAGCCACTGCTGATGCCGTCCCCGTCAGCGCCTCTTCCTCGTCCTCATTCTTCCCTTCATTCTCATTCTCCACGTTTGGCATCATCACTCTATCCTCCACGCTAGCACTGGAAGGTGTGTGTGAATTGCCGCCACCACGACCATCCACTCTCCCTCGTGTTTTTGGAATAACAAAAGAAAAAGCGGACTGACCACTGACTACTTTTCTCTTTTCTTTTGGTGGTAGGTCGTCGTTGCTGGTGCTTTGATGTAATTTGCCTCGTACAATAAAGTGATCAGTTGTCCCTCTCACGTCTTTCTCCTTTTAAATGATATTATCCCTCACACTGGCTGCCAAATAGGGCCTTTAAAGTGTCACACACTAATAATTCCCATGCGCAGACGCTGACAAATAGGTTCCCTGTGAAGGTTTTTCAAATCAAATTAAATTACATTTTTTAGCTAGAGTTGCCCCTTTATTGGGAAATGGGTGTGCACAACATATTGATACAGTCAATTAAAAATTAATTCATAACTTTTTGTACAGGCCCAGTTGATTATTGCAATGATAATGTGTGGTTATCACAAAATCCCATGGCACACCTGGATTGGCATTACGGCACACCATTTGAGAACCACTGATTTAATGCATCCAAAATTAACTGTATCACCGCACAGAAAGAAGCATGCATTAACTGTGAGCTTGCCCAGCACCACTGAAGTAAATGTAGGCTGCCATTAATGTCTACTTTGGGTTTCAAGTTTTTTTCCAGTTCCCGCAAATTCCCGCAATTTCGCCACATGAATTCACAAAAAATCCTGCATATTCCATTGCATAATCAAGGCATAATCAAGGATCTATGCCCGCATAGATCACACAAAAAAAAAAAACCCCGCAGCCACTGAACCACTATCAACAATACTTTTGTTAGCAGTATCTGTAGCAGCAGGAATATAAAACCTACCCACCTGGTTATTGTTGTTGTTGTTGTTGTTGTTGTCATTTTCTAGGGTTGAGATCGCAGGTCACGGTGCCACCACTGGAGGCCCTAATGATGAAAGGAGTAAGATGATTTTTGATGATTTAAATAAATGAATGATATATTTTCATAAGGTTTATATGGTTAATTTTATATTGCAAAGCATTTTTAATACTAAAATGGTATTGATTTCAATTTATAAAGAAACATACATTTGTTTAAAAAACTGATCAATGTCAAGTAATTGTCATGATGCTGGCTTTTTGTTTATATTCCATTATCTTATAGACTTTGTTTTAGAGTTTTCTGTTTCCGTTCTTTGTTTCATGTTATTTATTGATATTTAATCTGTTGCCTGTTTTATTTTGCAGATTCTCTCCTCATGTGTCTGGTTTTACTTCCTGTCTTTGTGTGTTTTCCCGCCTGTTTTCTGGCACACCTGTCTCATTAGTCCTTCCCTGTTCCCAGAGTCTTCCCCTCACACCTGTCCAGCCACTCCAGCTGTGTCTTGTTCTTGTGATTAGTTTTCTGTGTATATATACCTGTTTGTTTCCCTTTGTTCGTAGTCAGTTCATCTGCATTCAATCCCGTGTTCTTGGTGTGGGTCCCGGTTCCTTTTCCTTCCTGTTGTCTTGTGTTCTGTTTTACCTGAGGTCATTGTATTTTCCTGGTTGGATTTCAGTTTAGTTTTCGATCTTCTTTCATTTAGACTTTCAGTTACCTGCCTGTTCTGGATGTTTTTGTGTCAGCAACAAGAAACCTTTCATGTATAAAAAAAAAAGAAAGAAAAAGTTCAGATGTATTTTTTTTAGTTAAACCTTGTGTTGTTCTTATTTTTCTTTTCTCTAGAACCCAGTCAATCACCTACTCTCCACTGTGCAGATATTGAAGTTGTGAACTGTGAAGACCTCAAAAATACGTTGCAGAAACATTTTGAAGAGATCTACCCAGTCAAGGTGTATCAGCACTGGTTCTGTGGTCAAACACCTAACGTGGATATATGTTACGTGGGTTTGCATGGCCTCTCATTTGTACTCTCCTCTTCTGTTATTAACGTTTAAAGACAAATAAGTATATCAACAAGGGCAAAATGATATTACACACTAAATATATTTCTCTCTCACAGGGAGATTCTGGCGGAGGAGTGGTGTACGAAGATAAGATTTACGGTGTCATTTCTTTTCTTGGTGATCCTAAGCGTGTGTGCAGGAAAGCAGCTGCGTTCATGGACCTCTGCAATCCAGAATATGCAAAGTGGATAAATCAAACTATTACCTGACGATAAAAAAAAGATGTCTGCAGTATGATGTGGATAATGAAAATAATGAAAGCTCAATGGGAAACCTTTCTCTTTTTTTTTTGTTGTTGTTGTTTTTTTGTTAAACCCAGGTAATGTTTTCATACAAAGTGGAAACAGTGTAACAGTCAGTTTAAGACCAAATCAAAGATCAGTTATCTGTTACTACAATTTTGCCACCTTTTGACAAGTGACACAAGATCCTGGCCAGGATTTTAGAAATACCAGGTCAAAGTCTTCCAGTCCAGGTTGATAAAACTCTCAGGGCCAGCATAGGTTTTGTTACGTTTCGGCCTTCCGTTTACACAGAGACGGTGTTTTAGGTCCCATTTATAAGACAACTATTTCAGCTGAAAACGGTCAACTTTAGTTGCGTTTTGGCTGATGCGTTTAAACAACAGTGGCGTTTTGGGGGCCTGAAAACGCAACATTTTGAAAACGGTTTACAGAGTGCAATATTTTGGAAACAGCACCGTCTCCGTTGTCATGTAAACTCGCAATATGCAGTTCCTCTGAAAACTGAGACTTTTCATATATGCGCATTATGGTTGCAGTCACTAGGCATGAGCGAGAAGTCGACCATCACAACAACAATGGCGGACTCCCGAGCTCTGTTTGTGCTGCTCACCTTATTGGTCTATGGCTAAGCCACGCCTCCCCTCAAACAAACTATCAACTTTTTTCAAAACGAAAATGAGAAACGATTCCATTTTCAGCGGAACGTTTTCATGTCAACATGGCCTTAGACGACTTTAAACGGAAACTTTTGAATACGGCCTTCAATTTTTCTCAAACGTAACAGCCATCGTCTCCATGTCAATGGGTAAGCAGGAGTTTTCAGTTAGAACGCTCACGTCATGCGCCGCTTTGTGCATGCGCATTACACTTATTCTAATTGCCATGTACGAACCGGACGACAACAGTAACAATAGCGGACTAACGTGTTGTGCTTGTGCTGCTGATGTTTAGCGCCCATACTGTTCTGTGTTTCTCCCTCTTCTGTTTTGTTTATTTGTGACTGGCTGTATTTCTTCCAGTCTGTGGAGGAACTGGTAATGGTCACATGGGGTGTGCCTCTACAAAGTTGCATCGCTGACTACTGGCCTGGCATGGATACTACAGTGTTTTCAGTCCTTCCAGCGTTCTAATTGTAAACACAGAGTTTTTTTACCCCTTTGTCGTATAAACCCAACAAGGCAAAGAAAATACTTTTGTGTTTTCAGGTGAAACATTGTCGTGTAAACTGGGCCTCAAATTGCCTGAAAGTATACAGAGGACATGACATCAGTGTTCTCAACGGTCACTACAGCTCTGAAGAGTTATTTTTATCTGTTTTTATTTAAACAAGTCACTGTGTTGAAATTTTGTGGGAAAAGCATTCACTAATTTGTAAACAGCAGTTAGTTGAATTTTTTATGTGACTGAAAAATTAAAAAGGAGAAAACAACAACAACATAAAACTTGTGACTGCAGCTCAGTCGGCAGAAGAAAATGGCATTGTACATTTCTGCAAACCCCGAACATGTTACATGTGCATGTTTCAAACAAATCATATTAACATTTGTGACACAGTATTTGAGCTGACTTTGTCACTGAGAGGTGGAGGGAAAGCAGGATGGCGTATCATCTCGGGAAGCCTACCAAACTGCACACCAATGCAGACTACCGTTCAAGACCAACAAACAGCCGAACCAATTGTGATTTAATGAGTCATTGCTGTGTTTCCAGAGGCCACAGAGACTGTTTATGCAAAGGGCCCATGTGATGCTCCCCAGTTTTAATTGAGATATCACTGTGGTTTTTGTCGGAATAGTGGCACAAACAGTAATTTCTTATTTACAGAGACGTTACTGCTTTTCCCTCAGGAATTGTAGTGTATTTTAAGCTAAAAAACATGGTTTGATGACAAAATAGAGACAAGTACCAGTCAACAGTAGCCTTTAACTGCAAACTGAGACTTCAGTTTTTTAATGACATATGTTTGAGTTAATGTAGAAGCCTGTTGTAGCTTTTTAAATTGATCTGAAATCCATGCAAAGAACCCTATATATATTCCCAGGGCATCAAATGCCAACGCTTTGTGACGCCCTCCAGTGAGTGATATCCATGCCAAATGCAGCCTTTAGCATCTTTATGAGACGCACCAGGTTTTGAACTAACTCCAATGTAAACCCATCCGCTGCAATATTTGACACTGAGAGCAAATGACTTTGTCTAAAAAGCAAGAAGGTCTGCATAGGGTGGGATTAAAGGGGAGGTGGATTGGTCAAAGAAAACCTGGCAGCCACAGGTGACCACATTTCATGTTCCGTGTGAAACCAAAAGTCACTGTTGTTTTAACGTAACGTTACACAATTCATGTACAGCCGTCGCACACTGATGTCACACAACAAGCATCCTTATTTTAAGCCAAAACATGATCTTTTTTCTAAACCTGTTCAAGTAGTTTTGTTGTGACTGATTCACAACTTTAACCACATGTTACAATGTGTTTCAGCTTCATCACATAGAGGTGCTACAGGGTGCCCCGTGTGTGGCTATGAGATGCTGAGGGGCGTGGCAAAGTGTCGGTCTCTGACTACCTGGGAATGAGAATGGATTGCAGCAGTTGGCATTTGCCACCTCAAGTCTAAAATGTAGGCTTACAGATTGGCTAGAGTATTGTTAAAATTAACAAATTTCATGTTAAATGAATCAGTAAAGTCAGTGGTTTCTCAACTAGGGAGTGTAAGTGTGGACTGAAAGTAAAGTTGATTTACCTTACAAGACTGTCTGTCAAACATAGCTGTAACCGCTGGCACAGAGCCATTATTAATGTCGGCTCCACCTGTTTTGTCTCTGCTTTGACGAGTAAAAATATCAGCTGTCTCAGCTGCCAATGAATGTGATTGTTTTGTGAAAGATAAAGAGACGGCTCTGATGCTTAGGCTAAGACTTAGGTGAGGAAGATTTATTCAGAAGGCAAAACAATTTTCATTTTCTTGTCCCTTTTCTCAATTGTAGTTTTATAGCGATCACAGTGATCAAGGGTGTCGTGCAGTTTATTGTGAAAATCACGTTGCAGCAATGTTAATCTGTCTGCGTGCTCTGTGTTTTCTTCAGAACACCCTGTTGTTGTTGTTGTTGTTGTTGTTGTTGTTGTTGTTGTTGTTGTTGTTGTTGTTGTTGTTGCTGTTGTAACTTGACTGCACATTTAAAGGGAAGCCTGCAACGGTAGAACACTTAAATGCCTTGTCAAATGAAGAGTGTCGCTATTGATCCTAATCTGAGTTGTCAGGCCCAAGTTCTCCGTAATCATCAAGTCAAGGATAATCTGGTTTGAAAAGGCTGCCTACCTCACTCCTGCACACCAGAAGCCTTTTTGCTGGCTGTTGTTTGACAAATGGCTAAGCCTCTGGAGAGGCTTTAGGGTGGAAGTAAGAGAAATTGATTTATTGCAGAGACATGCTTCTCTGATGCACAAAGCTATCTATCCACACACCCACTGTATGACATTTAGTTTGCAGTTTGAGCACAAACTGTGTTGTCTGTCGACTACAGTCAGTTTTACTGCTGTAAATTATACATTTATTATAAATGCTGTGTTTCATTCACTTCAGCTCTTAATGAGTATGGTTTCTCAGCAAGTTTAATCTCTTTATGGCTGTTAACAGGTCCTGTATCAATGCCTTTAGTGACCTGTAGGTTTTCTACCTTATGCATAACAATTGCTGAATTTACAGCCCTTGCACACTCACTCTCATGTGAAGATATCATTTATATTATTGTACCCTTTGAAGTTTGGAAAGCAGGTACTGCTCTTAGCAGTGCACTAACAGTTTAAATCATCCCTTTCATCAAGGTTCTGACAATTGTTTTGCACTTTATATGTAATGTATTCTTCAGTATCAGATTGCAAAAGTTTAACAATGCATTGCAACAGAGTTCTTTGAAAATATTTTGTAATTTCTTAAGTGAAATAGGTCATAGAGATGCTGCTGTCAGTGAACTCTAATATTACTCTAATAATACTAATATTTTTCAGGTCTTAGCCCATAAATTCAGTGGTAGAAGGGATGACATGTTTTTCATGTAATTTGTACATCACTACTCAAACCAATCGGGATTCCTGCTTGGTGTGCAACACCCTGTGCACATTTTGCATGTTTATAAATGTTCAGAGCCTCTGCAGATCCTCTCTGTGGTCAAAGACACACACTGTTACCACTTGGGTTCAAATAAACACAAGAAATTTGTGCTCTATAAAGGATCAGCCTGGGCCACTACCTTTGCACCTCATAATATCTCCTCCTGTCTACGTATCTGTTCTACAACCAGCTTTCTTTTATCTTTGAGACCTGCTTTGTTCCATACCGGTTTGCCTGAGCCAAGCCGCAGGCCTCCCCGGCCAAACTGAACATTACCTACAATCTCTGCATGCCTAAGAGCTGCCTCTGTCTCCTGAACTGCCGATCTTGGGTTCCACTTCCTCCCCTTGGTTGGATTTGGAACCACACTCCTAACTACCACGTCCTTACTCTCAGTCGTTGCTGTAGCCCACAGTAACAGCGCTCCGCAACGCTTTTTTTTTCTTTTTTTCTCCGAGTGAGGACTGGGATATATGCAGTTTACATAATCCGGTCGAAATTAATATATAAACGCTTAAAGATCCACTCATTACTAAAAGTGTATGTCATATAAAAACTAAACTGATGGTTAAAGTTGTCATACTGAAATCTAAGGTGTGTTGATTGAGTTATGTCATTGGCTCAGCCATTGAGTAATATGACATGTTAACGTTCCACCATAAAAGTCGCCGCCAGATGGTCCAGTGAATTATTTTTTTTCTCTGACTACGGCTGCAGCAAGAGGCAGCAAAACATCCTTTCATTTTATAGTTACAGTTGACTAATATAGTCAAACTCTCCACAGTATGAACAGTGGTTACATGAGCCTCAAAACCAGACACAACTCAGCCCTGAGCAGAGTGACCGTCCTCTACTGACCAATCAGACTGCAGCGTTCACAGCTCCACCTCTTAGTACCAGATCTGTGTGCTAGGTACCCCAACAGAGGGGGGACCAAACATGGGAACAGTCTGGAATGGTTCCAGTGGTACCATCCACAACTTTTCACAGTGGAAAAAAAGCGCACCGAACTGAACTGAACCGTACTGCTTGGTTGAGAAAAGACTGTGGTCTTGGTTAGATATTGAAAAATTAAAATGTGGCTTGAAGCAGGAGATACAGAGTTATTAACATCTGACGAAAACCACGATCGTATCAACGTGGGACTGAGGATGCACACACAAAAAAAAGTTTTTGTTATTTACAAAACCTTAACATCAGTTTGAATTTTTATTTATGCCTTGCTTACTGATGCCTCATAATTAATATTTTATTCATTAAGCAACAGTCATAAGATTTATAAAGAAACTAGTTTTATGTGGCATTCACCTACTTATATCATGATAGAACGAAATAATTCAAAAAAGGTATTTTATTGCTGGACAGATGGTTTCTTTCATAAAACTAAGCTGTCCATGGAGTAAGAAGGACGCAATATTTTTGAAATTGGTTTTATATGAGCAGGAAAAACAGAAGAAAGGCCGTGAGATTGGCATGTGGGTGCTGCATTCTTTGTGCCTCCTTGTGAGGTAGCAGTTAAAAGGAGAATATCAAACCACCTGTCAGTGTATACAGCTGAATTAATTGTCAGCGCTTTTGAGCATTAAATCTGGAAAATCATCATGCAGATAGGATACTATGTATGAAATTTATCATGTGCTGCTCAGATAACATTGCAGGGGACTGGATATCCCCTTCCTCTGGGTTCCTGCTCATGTAGGGGTGGGAGGAAATGAAAAAGTAGACATATTGGCTCATCAATCATTAAAACAACACTTAATTGACTTGCAAGTACCACTGAGTACATCAGGGGTCAAAACTATCATAGAGGACCATATGCACAAAACCTGGCAGGAATATTTGGACTTAAGTGACACAGGGAGACATCTTTACAGTATTCAAACACATGTAGGTGCCGGGAGATTACTGATGAAGAGATGATCATTACCTGTCTGAGGATAGTACATACTGGATTAAATGACACCCTCCATAGAAAAGGGAAGCATCCTACTGGACTGTGTTCACACTGTAACACACTGGAAACAGTCAAACATATAGACTACTAATAGATTGCAACAGGTATGAAGAAGAAAGACGGGAGTTCATAACAGGACTAACTGAAGGAAAGCACAGTATTACATGAGGGAATCTACTTTGAAAGACATCAAGGAATACATGTAAGCTTCTATTTAATTATTTACAAGCAACAGGACAAACAGAGAGAATTTAGTCCTACTCTTATTTTATTTTTATTTATTTATTTTTGTTTTGTGTCCTGCCAATCTACTGCTCCACACTCCAGTCCAGTAGGTGGCGGTAATGCACCCAAAAGCTGGTTTGCCAACCGCCATTAACGATCAAAAAGACAGATGTTGCCCCTGTAGAGCCAGAGAGACACATTTTCACGCAGTGGTTTTTCTAAAATGAGCAGTGGTTGAAGTTACTGCATTGCATTGTGATCAGGGAGTTGATATGAGAACGCTAGCTAGCTCCAGCATAATGAGCTAGTTGAAATGTTTGCTGTGTCTCAAATCGTGCACATCTGTACTTAGCTACACTTAATATTTTGAGTGCATAAGTGCGTTTACACTGAGAAGTATGGAAAATGCAGTGCCTGGATGGTGCACTCAAAACGGTCAAGACGTTGAGTATGGAACTATGGACACTTCTCGCCCTCAATGGTCGCCATCTTGGCTACGTAGCGGAAGGGGAGGGACCACTTTTCAAACTGGAGATGACGGCCAAAGACTGTGCGACCGTGAACGTGGCTGCATTGTACAAATACATGTGTTTTTTTGCTAAGCACCACTATTCTGTTGTCGGGTATTAGCTAGCAGTATGTTTATTGGGTTAATTTAGCAGTCTGTAATGATTTGGTACCGTGAACGATTACGCAAATTCTAATGCTAGTTTGCTAACTAGCTAATTTGCGGTCGTCATTTCCGGTGAGTGCACAACGGCCGTGTTTGGTTTGAGACAACACTACTGTCGAAATTTGTGCACTACGACATTGAGTACATAGTGCACATAGTATACTACATGGAAGTGTACTAAGGGAAGTATGGTGTGAGACACACCAGTTGAGTACTCCCTCCACTGGGAAGTGATTGGCTGAATTTAAAACTGATACATTTTTCACCGACAGGGGATTGTGAGCCTCTGATTGGCCACATTAAAAAAATGATTGACACATACCCCGCCCCCTCAAACTTGCATGCGCCCATCTAAAACAGCAACGGTATAACTCGCGAATGCGCATGCGCACCTCTACAACGGTTGCTCCTCGGCTCATATTTGGATGAGGTAATGGAAGCTTTGCTTTTTTTTCTACAGGAAACAAAATGGCAGCAGGCAGAAGCAAAAGACCATGCTCTGCAGTTAAAATGTAAGATAAAATACGGTTTTGAAGACCTTTTAGGCGAAAAATAGGCAGGTCTTGGTTTATATTTTATCAGCACTGCATACTTTTAACATTTTCTTTAACCTCCATTTTTACAATACACAAAACAGTATGGCGCCCATTTATCTTTCAGAAATGTGTTTATTACAGTGAAAGTGCACTAAAATTTCTGAAGACATTTTAGGTAAAAAAAAAAAAAAAGGCAATGGTTTATATTTGCTCACCGCTGCCTAGTTTTACTGTTTATTCTGAGTTTGGTCTGCATTTGAGTTTTACCCCGGTGGTCCTGATGCAATGTGATTCCTTTTGAGCTACACAGGATTATTTGTTCCCTTACCAACACACAATGACACACTCACATACACTTAGACAAATAATGAGCAATGTTTCCCACCTGGCGGGGTGATGAGTATAACCTCTCTCCCACAACACCATTAATCAGTTAGCCTCTGTTAATCAATGCAAACAAATAAATCAAATTGATATCACCGTCCTGATGTCTTGTCCTCTGGGGAAGCAAAGTAAGACAGATGATGCCTGTAGCAGCTGGTAGAAAGCAGTCGGATATATCAGTGTTACCTTAGACAGACCCTCCTCACAGAGCTCTTTTATTTTATTGCCCGGATCCTGTAGATGATGGTGCGTGTCTGATCCTGCAGGAAGCTGTACAGACTATGTAGTAATCAGCCATGCGTTTTACCAAAGTTAAAATAGTCATGTCAACTCTGAAGAAATAATATTCTCTCTGCTGATCTTTTACTTGATAAAATGTCTTTTATTTTAATATCACAACAAATAAAACGTTTCTTAATAACCTTTATTCAAATACAACATTGTTCTGCTCCCTGCTCATACAAAAACTACATTCCTGATTCTTATGTTTTGTCGTTGTTCATCACTCTCAGTACAACACTTGTAAGACATTATGAAGCGATCTTATTGCATCTTTGCACTCAGTAAGAAATATTATCATTATTTGAAGCTGCACAAGACACCTGAGAGCAGTGAGGTGTGGTCTGGTGTGCAGGAATTTGGTACATTCTGCTCCTGGTCTTACAGTACATTTAAGCTAACAGGGTGAGTCTATAGTGTGTCAACTGGGGCAGTCTGTTGCATCCACATATAGTGATTTCTTCTGATAAATTGGTGTATTTTACAGAGGAAATTTAGTGCAGTTTTTATAATGCACTTCAAAAATCAGTCTCTAAGTAAGCTGTACAAAGGTTTGCTACCATTTTGTTATAACTGCACAAGCATTGTTTTTTTAACCAGTGGAAATCTAGTTGTAGTTTTCTACTGGAAACATAAACAGAACTTTAAAATCTTCTTCAACCTCAGGTCATCAGTCTGAATCTCTCCTTTTCCTCTTCCTGGTCCTGCAAGAATTGAAGACAATGACGACCACATGAATGTGTCACAACTTGATTAAAACACACACACAGGTTGAAATGGCAATGCGTGTAGGATGTCTGAGAAAATGTAATCCTGCTTCAGTGTTAAGAACATAAAGGATTCTTCCTCTCAGCAAAGAAGTGACTCATTAGTCCACATGCAATTTTGTAAAAAATAATTTCTCTGTCACATGTCTCCAAATTCTCTTTGTACCTTGGCATATTGAAATGCCAGCAGGATGCTTTCAGTTCTACAATAATTATAATAATAAAAAAAAATAAAAATTAACTTCTCTTTTTCTTGGACTTTGTGTTATTCAGTTGCTAATGTATCTCCTGCAGAGAAAAGGCTTGGATCATTGTCAGTCATATTACTGCTGTATTTTCTAGCTCACTGCATTATGTGTCTGTCCTCCTCCTGGCAAATTGGAAATCTGCCCTGAAGGGTGGGAAATAATTACCCGAGTACTGTGATAGGATTTTTTTTTTTTTCCATATCAAATGTGACATTAGGTAAATCGTTTCAGAAGAAACAACCTAGCTATATTCTCTGTGCATGCATTATCATGTTTTTCTAATTGTCTTTAGTGTGTCTCTTTGTGTAAAAACTACCATATTTTTTCAGTTGATTCTCTTTGGCTAGTTTTCTTATTCTCTTTGTCAAGTGTGTGAAACTGTATGCTCGGTGAAGAAGAAGCCTTTGAATCATCTATCAGTGATCAGCCAGTTCTCACTGCCCAGTACGCGATCAAGATTCCTCACAAGTTGTGTAGGATGTGTTCAGAGTTACGATCCAGGAAAAGCACACAAATGAATGAATCATCCTGACCCCTCCTACTCTCCCTCACTTGTTCACTACATCTTTCGATTGTTCCTTTCTTCACTGACCACTCTCCCTCCCTCTCTCCCTCTGTGTTTGCTTCAGTCTTACCATTTACAGCAGTGAGCAGGGCTTCTTCTTGACTTTGGTGGGCTGGGGGCAAAGCACAGCTCGGATGGCCTCATCAAACACAGTCTTCAGACCGCGCTGGGTCAAGGCTGAGCACTCCAGGTACTTCACTGCGTCTAAACATATAAACAAGGACACAGAAAAACACACATTGATAAAACTACACTTTGAAACATAAAGAATAAGTGTGTTAAGTAGGCTGAAGTAAACAAGCAGCATTATGTAATGCCATGTACATATCCAGTATATGTAAACTGCATTTTTTAACCATACTTTTCAAGAAAGACTGGTAATCCTGTAGGCTATAACCTGCATGTTGAAATACAGTAATGTTAAAGCCACTGAGACATAAGGAACATGTCAGCTGGGGATCTAATGGCTAAATTTCTCAATCATTTCTAATTTTGCTACTCAGAGTATTTATTTTACTTTAATGATAATAATACTGCATTTTATTTATAAGCGCCTTTCAGAGCACTCAAGGACACCTTACGTGAAAAAAACAAAAAACAAAACAAGCAGCAATATATCCATAGATTCTGTAATATACAATAAAAATTGATAAAATGACTAGAAAATATATAAAATCATCATCATAAAGTCATCATCAGGGTAGGTAACCTAAACCTAATGAAGTCGCTGAAGAACAGGAGTGATATGATCCATGGAGGGGGTTCTAGTTATGATTCAGCCTTTATGCTCTTCTTAGGTCTTCACCAACTCCCACAGGACTGTACCACGAAGCTAGTTCGATAGTGCCAGGCTTTCTTTGTCTTAGCTGGCTCGACAAACCCTACAGCCCCCAGTCAGAGATAACAGGTATTAGCTTGTTGTTCAGCTTTCTCAGTGCGTGTTCCCATAAAATGAGTCAAATGATGTGTTCAGTTCATCATTTGACTCTTAAAGTTGATCGACTGTATGCCACATACTTCCGCTATTGAATAATACGGAAGCGTATTGCATTCACTTGACAAATAAAAAAAAAATCTGTTTTGTTGAGTAATTTTTTCTGTTTTCGGAGTAATTTTTTTATTTTTCTGTTTTTTGTGGTATTTTTTTTTTGTTTTTCTGAGTATTTTTTTCTGAGTTAAGAGAGCAATAGAACAACAGACACTTTCATCCCTTTCTTGAGAGCTCGATATCATGGAAGCAAACATGACCCGCTTGTTTGGTTTAATCCAGTTTTACTTTGTTTTGGGTTTGAGACACTGGGAGATACTCTTGTCTTTAAGTCATATAGATGGTGTTACTATTAGTTAGTCGACTTTACGCAGGCACCTTAAGACTTTGCGGTTGTTCAGATGAAAAGCCCATTCAGATCTGCTGGACATTGCAGTGTTTCTCCAGAATCAGTTGGGCACATATGGCAAGCTCCATGGATACAAGATGATGCATCTGAAATGCATTCAGGCTGGCTACGTGGTGACTCAAGTAAGGTGCCTGCGTAAAATCGACTAACCCCGAAAAAAAAACCCCACCATGAAAAACAGAAACAAAATTACCACGAAAAACAACAACAATTACTCAATAAAACAGATTTTTTTTTATTTATCAAGTGAATGCAATACGCTTCCGTAGAATAATATGAAAAAAAAATGACTGTAAAAAAATTAATGAATGCTGGCAAAAAATAATAAGTTAAAGTAAATATGTTTATTTTACCATTATTTTACTATTCTACAGCTCTGAACTTTAAACTTGATCCAACAGATTTAGACATTATACCGAAGGACTGCATTTAGGTGTGACACCGAGCAATTATGAAGGATATGTGGAGATCAGAGCCAAATGAATTTTATTGATTTAATATTTTCTGTGATAAATACCAATGGACTAATCAATTTTACCATCAGTGTTCTATAAGCTGTAATATACCAGTAGTGTAAACAGATTTCTGCAAATCAGGACCAAACATAAAAACATAACTCAAAGTGGTAATGTTATAATAGGGTTTGAAAAAATGCTAATGATTTTCATAGTAAACACTATCCAGATTAATAACGTAGTGAACTGAAACACTGCCTGCAGTCGTACAGACGGCTTATTTCAGAGCCAGCTTGGGCACATAGGCTAGAGGACACTGCAAACACATTCAGTAGTTCAGTTAGGGCAACAACAACATTGCAAATACAATAAAACAACATTCTCGCTCTGATACTTTCCGTGGCAAAACAAACAAACTGCAATGCCATACATGCAGTAGTACTACTGTGGTTACAGGGTTTTCTTTGGTGGATTTATAACATATTCCCTCAGCTAAGAATCTGTGACGCTGTTTACAAAGAGTTAATTAGTTAAAGCTTTTTTTAGCAGATTTCAAGCCAAAACTCGGAACAAAAACTGGTCCAGAGGTTATTCCCTGTACTTTATACCTTGCTAGCCCACTGATCTTGATTCGTGGGACATCCCACTGAGAAAATATTAGGCTGTTGATTTGCTAAATGCTCCATGATCTTGTTTGTTTGTTCAGTCCTTGGCAAACTAGGCTTATCAGAGCTTTTTGAATAGCAGCATTCGCCTGTTACAACAGGAAACAAGTTTAATGAGAGCCATGAACTAAAACAGTAAAGCTGTGGGCGAGAAAACCAAAATAGTGAGCTAAAAGACACTAAAACGCCCCACAGAACTGAAGAACACGGCATTCTTTGTGGGTTTGTCACTACAAGCAACCACTTTCACATAACATAGCCATTTAAACCATTGGTAATATAAAAATGTTGATTGATGCAGCTTTAAAAAAATTAATTTGATGGAAAATTAGCAACTGCAATCACAAATGTATCCATGGAAGCTGGTCAGAAAGGCTAGCTGGTCAGAAAGGCTAGAGGTATTATTTTTCTCTCAAGGCTGATGTCACGACAACTAACTATAATGGAGACAACTGTTCATGATTTTACTGTCAGTGAATTCAGTATACTACCTCAGTTAGGGCAGTAATCGCAGGCAGCACATCATAGGTTAACTATAAGTCCCTGACACACCAAGCAGGCAGTTGACTGTTGGTCAATGTTGGGCTGTCAGTGAGCGTACGTCGCCCCAGTCTTTTCGGTCTGTCCCGCACTGTTGGCAGTTGGCACTAGTCGGCAGTTGTCGACTTATTAGTGGCCAAGTCAGTGTATTGAATCAGTGTCGGAGACGATGGAGACGGTCAGTAAATTAAATTAGAAACAAACATGAGGAATCAAACAGCTAAAGTCAAGAGGGTGTGAGATCGGAACAAAATTGTTATATTATTATTTTTTAGCCACTGAGCACTTTAGCAGAACCAGTGTGTAATTGTGTTATTGGTACACAGTAATTTGTCCTTTCAACATGGGATAACTGGCTAACTAGCATCTTGAATCCATCGTTGGTCTTCCTGTTTCCATTTTGAATGGCAAATCCAGACTACCGCTGTCTTCTGGTATGGAGGGTTATTTACTTTCACGCAGGTGCAGAACGTAAGTGCTCGCTGGCCATTGGCTGTAGCCTTTGTGGTGTGTTCAAGTGCAACTTTTTGACTGAGACACAGGCGACGTGGGACGATGCAACTGTTGGCCTTCATCACACTTGGTTCTTTGATGTCTGTTGGGTGTGTCTGGGCCTTGATACATTGACTACATTTTCATTTATCTTATCACTTACTGAGCGATAGGGACTGCTTTGTTTCATCAGCCAAGGAGGCTACACAGTTCTGTCACAGTAGACCTGAGAGGACCCTGTGAGAATTACTCACCTATCTCCTTGGCCAGAGCCAGACCCTGAGGGTAGGTGATTGGTGCCAGCTTCTTTTCCTTCAGCTTCTCAATGGTATCCTTCTCGTCCCTCAGATCCAGCTTGGTGCCCACCAGGATGATGGGTGTGGAGGGGCAGTGGTGGCGAACTTCGGGGTACCACTGGACAGAGTTAAAGGCAAACAAAAAGAGAAGAGAGAAAGAAGAAGACACAAAATGGAGGTAAGTGTCGGAGATGAAGAAAACGACAGGGGGTGAAGGAAGACAAAAAGGTTGGAAGCCAAAAGGTACAAAAAGCTGGGTGAAGGAGTCAGCGTGGTTCCTTATATTCTCATGAAATAAGTCTTAAAATGCAAATGACATGCTGAAGGTATGAAATCCAAGTTTCAGCCTGAACTTGCAAATAATTTCACAACATGATTGAGGTTTTCATTTTCAGACCTCTCCCAGCTGCCTCCACTCTCCTCTTACAATTTCTCTCAAAATTATAGTGTTTGCTCTATCTCTCAGCCAGGTCCCCACTAGTTTCCCTTCTTTTCTTCAGGCCTTTCCCTCTGATCTCAAGTTTGCTTTTTCCTCCTCACCTCCTATCTTCTTTTCCTGACTTCTCCCTGTCTCTCTCTTTGTTTTCCTCAGTGAGGAAATGAGAGATGCTATCTGCTAAAATAATTAAGTTAGAAATAAGATTCTGTTAGCGCACACAGTGACGGTTGTAGTTTTTGATTGGCACATCCAACCTGCTTAGTGAGAGAGTCTGCTCACAGGCCAACCTGTTGACATGGGGATTATGGGTATTACCTGATGGGTTGTACTGCTGCTTCTTTTAGCCACTCCTTTTTAAATGTTTTACTGTGTATGTCTGAAATTCTAAACCTCTGTGTAATACAGATTCATGGACTCGTTGAATCTCCTCCTCATTCAGCAGCTCAATCTTCTTTTGAGGTCTCAGTAAAACAAATTTAAATTAAATTCTGCCGCAGTAAATTCTATCTTGGTCGCAGCCAATAAGGAAATTGTCTTGTGGAGGTTTTTTAAACTTGACTTTCAAGTGAATATTCCCTGAACTTGGCCTGTTCTTTTCAGCAGGTCCACTTAACATATGCTAGAGCCTTAGACTTTTAGATTAGGAGTTAAGTAAAAGAAAAGAGGACTTGTCTTACTTGAAAATTGACTCCTTAACGAGTGTATTTGACTTGAGATGCGAAAGCAAAACAATTCAAGTTTCAAGGTTTGATCTGTAAAAATTCCATTCTAATAAAGGTCCATTGCAATTTTGAGACTTGATTTGGACGTGTTTCAGTTGACTTGACACTAAATTTGCTTAAAAGCTTTCAGAGTTAACTGTCTTGTTTGACTTAAGATTTGACTTGAAGCTTGCTCCAAAGGACCTTAGACGCTGACTTGTCTTGAATGCTTTACGACTTGTGTCGGACCTATATCAGTTGAGTTAGGACTTGACTTTGACTTGTCTTACTTGAGTTTTGAGACTTGCTCTGAAAGACTTTAGATTGTACTGTGACTGTGACTTTTCTTGAATGACTTAAAACTTGGACTTGTCTTGAATGACTTGTGTGTCTTTAGGATGGCCAGAGCACAGGTCACAAATTAGACTTGTACCCGCTTGTCTTGGCCAATGGGACTTTTAATCTCCTGCCAGACGGCAACAGCTGTATTGACGAGCGAAGAGGTCAGGTGGTGTCTTTATAGACCTGGGTTACCTTTGTGATTGTAGGCTGGTTGTAAAAGTTCTGGAGTTGCAATTGTTTATTTCCAATTATCTCAGTGGCCTGGTTAACCAATTGGGTCAGCTTGTATCTGTGTCCAGGTGATTGGTTTCCATGCCAGAAGACATAGGTATTATAGAATATAATGAGAATATTACAGGGTGTGTTTGCTGGCGATGAAACTCCTCAATTTCCTGAGGAGACAGAGCCGCTGCCTTGCTTTGTTGGATAAGTTTATTGTCAGTGATTTGTTCCCAGATATTTTAAGCAGGTTACCTGCTGCACTCTCTGCTTCTTCATGATCACAGGCTCAAAGGTGGGCCCTGTGTGGCCTACAGCAATCTTTCTGACCTTTCTGTCCAGATGATTGAGTCTTGTAATGTAGCACAGAGTGAATGCTATCTGATTGGTGATGGATGGACAGCGAGTGAACAGGAGGCCAGACAGTCTATACTCCACCATGTCATTATGCTTTGATTTGCTTGACATTTAGCTGCACAGGTGCCTTGCTGTCAATAGTTATCCACCTCTGCACAAAGGATATTCAACCTGCTTTGCCCGAGGGTCAGTTTTGCAAAAGGGCAGGAGGCCAGGGGCACATTTCTAGGATTGGAGGACATTTGGGGCTTAGCCTGGGACTGTGGGACTTTTTGATTTAGATTAAACCCTGTTTTGATGCTTTTTATGAACTCCGGCATATTATTTAAATTTAAAATACAAAAAGGTTTATTTCCATTATGAAATAGAAATGGTTGGTGGGCCACTCGGCACTTTATCGCCGTAAGTTAAGTATCACTACTCTCTTCTAAAATTCAGATTCAAATGAAGGAAGGAATGTGAAGGGAGGAAAAGGTTAGTTTGAAGGCAGGAAGAGTCTAAAAGGTCCAGAATCATAAAAAGTTCGTCCTGCAAAGAATTAGCCATACAGTATATCTCAGAAATGACTAAATGATGTTTGTATAGTGCAAACAATGGCAGCCAAAACATTTAGTCTCTGTGTGTCTGTCATGATCGTACATGTGGGAAATACATTTAAATCTCATTATCTTATTCACACACAGGTAATGCAGTAATCATTTGTACATTTGGCCAAATACAGTCTATTTTCTGAGTGTAAAATTATAACCAAAGCCGTCTTTCTGCTTCTGAAGTTTCACTTTATAGAATTCCTGCTTTTACCACCAAGCACTCTTCCTCTTTAATTTCCCTACATACCAACTAATCTAGTGGGAACCACTTTCATGGCACCACTCCAGTCCCTTGTTACTATGGTGACTCGCATGGAATTCAAAATGAAGAGCAAGGCAGAGGTGATTCGTATTCAAACGGATCTAATCAATATTCATGATGTTATTTCATTTGTTATATTGTGTTGATGTTCTTATAGGATATTTATAGGGTTGGGAGGCAGCGAGTGGCTTTGAGAGAGACTCGCCTTTTGCTGCGGTACTTGTCCTTGTGTCATCGAGGAACAGGAAATGGAGAGCACATGAAACTACTATAGAACCGAGAAAGCACTTTAGATGAGAATGCCGTGCACGAAGGCTTTTAATCTCACAATGCTGCAAATACATTCTGGTGTTCCTTTCAGTGTGTCGAGATTAAAGGGGTTGAATGATTTAACCTACATGACCCTGAATAGAAATAAGCAGGGATAGAATATGGACAGAGGGATGGATGGAGATTTAAATCTAGAACTGAAATGATTAGTTGATTAATTGATTGGCACATTTATGCCATGTATTCAGTAAAGGAAATACCAGACATTTATTGGTTCTAGCTTCTTCAACTTGAAGATGTGCTGTTTTTTGTACGTTTGTGCTGTTTTTCTCTAATTACTATGATATAATAATTATTTGCTTTTTATTATTATAAGCAAAAGGCTAACACTAGGTTAGCATTAGATATCTGCAATAATATTGGAATCATAAGATCACAAAGCAAAAATACTCTCATTTTCCAACACCACTGATGGATAGCTCACTTCAGTTTCACAAGCCACAAACCATGGCAACAACAAACGTGTCCCAGCTGTGCGCATCAATCTTTAGTGTCCCCTTGTCACCGTTTCTGTTATGTTTGGACCTTCTTGCCGCAAATAGAGAAACATGCTGCAAGAAGCTCCAAGCATAACGGAAACTGTTTCAAGGGGACACTTGGGATTGATGCGTTCGGCTAGGATATGTTTGCTGTTGCCATGGTTTGTGGCTTATGAAAATGCTGTGCATATATCGTCAGGTGGTTAAGATGTTTGCTCATTTGTTTGTGTGGTGTCTATTTGCACGTGTGTTCTTAATTTGCAGTGTGTTAAGCTCTCAGGGCCACCGCACATATTGGCTTATGACACACTCTTCTTCACATCACTGTTGTTTGATGGAGTTGCCTCCTTAAATTTGATTATTTTAATGATCTGCGAGAGCCCAGAATCCAATTATCTGTCAGACAAAATGTCAAACACTCCCAACTTAAATCCCCCCTGTGTCACTGTTACTCTTTCTTTCGTTATCAAAAATCTTTGTTTTGTTATTGTCTTACGAGAACGCAGTTGAGAGCTGAGCCTGCTCTGTAAAGTCTGCTGTTTCACCTACTAATTATGGTTAATTACTCCTCCATTCTTTTTGTTTTAGGCCTTGCATACACATGCAAATCACTTCCCAAACATATGATTTAGCAACTGTAGCAGAAGAGGCAGCGACAAGATTGTTTTTCTTTTATTTATATACTGTATAACCACTTTTGTTTATTTTAGGACTGCTTGATTCCCTAAACTAAAAGTATATATTTAAAGTGGGTGACTGTTTTTTCAGGTGACATATAAAAAGGTCCAAATAATAAGGCCCGCTTCCACTGAAGAAGTTCCTGGTACTATCTGGGGGGCAGGAACTTTACAGGAATGTCCTCTTGCTTGGCCCTCTCAACCGCTGTGTCTCCACTGAGAGGGCGGAGTAGGAGGAATGTTCCTGTAAAGTTACCGGGCTCTGGATGTGACGTAATCGTTGCGCGATTGACCCGGGTGACGCGGCAAAGAAACAAACAAAGAACAACAACAACAAAGAAGAAGAAGCAGAAGTAAGAGGAAGAAAGCAGACATAAGAAAGACGATAATCAACATGGAAGGAGCTGAGGTGGTTGCTGGGTTTCTGGCGTGTCTCTTCGTTTACATGGCGATGGAAGCTATGAACGAGCTAACCCTCGTCTGCTGAGTTTTAAAAATGCCGGCTATTTTGTCGCTTTCTGTTGACATCACATCCCGCCTTGAATATATCCAGTCAGCACCAAGTAAACCCCAAGCCCCACCCAGGAGTTTTTCGGAGCCGTTCTGAGTACCTACTCTGAGGCAGGGACTTGTTTAGCCCCTGTAAACGTTCCGTAACTCTGTCCTTCAGGGGTGGTTCCTGCGGTGGAGACACGTACCAACGGCCCCGGCCCCGTAAAATTACCCCAAAGTTCCTGCGGTGGAAACGGGCCTATAACATACCACAGATTGGAGACTCACCTTAGCTCTGACGTTCTCATAGGATGCTGGGCTCACCAGGGAGAAACAGATCAGGAAAACATCCTAGACAGACAATGAGATGAGAGAGAGTAGATTAGAGGATTGATTTGACCCCACTGGGACTCTGACTACATGTCTACTGCAAATTTATATAGTTCATGGTAAAATATTTATGTTTCTCCGTAGGCTACCTATGGGGAATGATAGGTCCTTGACTCATTTTATTGCAAAGGACATTATTAGTCTTTTTCTATTGTGGAGAGACTTGCTCTGCGTTAACTGTGTGTTATGTTGTTGAACAAGTAGTTGATGCCCGATTTAAAATGGGTCCAAAAGTTCTGGTAATTTGACCAAAAAATCTTAGTTTCAATCTGAGAGTTTATCTTAAATTAGATTGCAATTTGCTACACATAAATAAAATAAAATAAATCAACCACCAACCACAGCTGGTAGAGCTTTTCAGTTTGATGCCATGTATGCACTGTAGGAGGGCAAAACTTTGGAATGAGGTTGTCTCAACAAACGTGAACCCAGCCAGACACAGAGAGAAACCATTAAGGGTCCGCACCCCCATAGAGAAATTATCTTCTATCTGTCTATCAGTGCTAGTCAACCCTGTCTTCTTGCATGTCTGATTCATCCCTGGCAATCTTCTGCAGGTATGTCCTGACATCCAGCAATCACTGCGTTCAAGGGGGACATCTAATCATGACCTAGCAGGTGGTCATTAACAATCCACCTCCACTAGGAAAAGAATTCTTCTGTGTCTGACTTGGTCCGTTTTTACTGAGAAAAACGCAGTCCACATATCTGCCCTTTTGCAGTGTGGACATGGCCTTAGATTGAACACCCAGTGGCTGCTCTGCTAAAGTGGAAATCAGCTGTGATTTTGTTGGTGGTTGAGTTTGAGTCAGAAACAGTTCATGAATTTTGAAAGATGTAGTCAGTGGGTGTATTTTGTGTCGAAGCAATGGAACTGCTGTTGTGCTGACTGTGTCAAGTGTTTTGAAAGAGGGAGCTCTGTTCAGAGAAATGCTTGAAGCCAATGTAAAAAAAAACAAACAAACCAGAAAAAAAACAGTTTCTTTTCTGGCACAAAAACTGCTTTAATTTATTCAAATTCAAATTAAATTTTGCTTATTTGGTCTCAAAAAAAGGAACATCTTAATCCAAATAACACCCTCAATACAATTAAATATAGCAGTCATTTTGGCCAAAGCTAGTCACACTATCCTTATGTAGGTGTATACAGTGTGTGTTCTGTTTTTCTTTTCTATTTAATAAATGTACTTAATTGCCAATTAAGTCCCACATTATAAGATAAACATTATTTCTAGGAATTTCTACGTAGATTTTTTCTTTCTGATATTAATCACAGAACTATTTAATTGGTGACCTTTATTTAATTGGGTGGTCAATAGACTGGGGAAAGTTGTAGACTGCGAATACATTCGGGAATTTGTTGAAATAATAACTTGAGTTAAAAGAAGACTTCTACCCCCTCCTTTTTTATCTTTGTCTTGTTTGTTTGGACGGAGTGCAAATGCCAAAAATTCATACAAATCTGGAGATATCACAAAAAAATGTTTAGCTTTGGGGAGGTGGAAAAGTTGGTGTATCAAAAAAAGGATAAATGCGACAAAGTACAATGGAAAAAGATTTAGCTAATAAATGATGACGCAATTTTACTGTCATTATATGACTGTTGCTCTTTTAATTACATCATTTCATTGTCTTCTTCTGCAGTGGCACCTGACTGGAAAATAAGCCCATCTACTGCTTATTCTGATGAACCACCTCCCAATAACAGTAGTGGAATGGAAACGTGCATAATTGTATTTTCTTGTTCCAACATTTCAGTTACATTTGGATGGAAACTCGACTTGTGACATCATCTTTTTTCCCCCACCTATTTTGCCTGTCAAATTAATGTAGCTTGTGCAGGTTGTAAATGGATCTGGAAGCCGCAATCTCAAATCTCATGGGTTTCACAGCGGGAGACAAAGTAGATGTTATCTTTACTAATGAACTGTGCAAGCATGTGGACATGTATTACTCATGTTGTGGGGACTCGCTTTCCTTTTAGGGACAAAATGCAAGTCCCCACGACATAAATCAATACAATTTAGGGTGAAACCTTGGAGGTTGGGGGTTAGGCAAGTAGTTGATCGGGTTAGGGTTAGTCCCCAGGAAATGAAGTCAATGTAATGTTCTCTGAAGTGATGGAAACACGTCTGTGTACTCTTTGTGTGTGCGCGTGTGTGTGTGAAGATGTACCGTCTGTGGGTAGGACAGTGGGCGGAGCCTGTCATAGTCTTCCTGTCCAGCTGTATCCCAGAGTCCCAGATTGACTGGCTTGCTGTCCACCATCACATTAGCTGAGTAGTTGTCAAATCTGTGGGGAGCACGGCATCAATCAATCAGTCACTGAGCTGGTCTGTCCTTTAATAGATTATTTAAACAATCAATCACTTGATTTATAAATGCCACAGAAATGCCATCACAACAAGGAAGCATTGCATAATTACACATCTGACAGGAGAAGCTTACAGGAAATAAAGGAGTTCATTAGGGTGTATAGAGTTTGGTATGACTAGTAAAACAGCTTTCATGATAATAAGCATGCCTTTGTTTTTACAGCATTAGAGATATGAGAAAAATGTGTTGCTTAGTACAGTAAGTAGCTCATTAAACCTGCCCAGTTAATGAGCACTAGACTGGTCCTTAGACTGGAAGGATTTGGATTCCCTTGCTGTGTTTGTCTGCCATTAAAATGCATAATATATTACTGTGTGTTTACAGTAATGGCCAGTGTTAGACTGTAATATGTAAGCAACACTGCCCTCGTGTGGTCATATAGACACACTACAGGCTAATTTGTCAGCTTTGTCAGTCACAGTCATACACTTTCCTCTGGGCCTCCTGCATGTGCACATGTTGCTACAGAGACAAGCACAATTACCAAATAGTTTCAGTACTAAAAAACAATGAGTGCATTAATGAAAATGTAAAAAGATGTTGTAAATGAACCCTTCCGTGGGTCATCATAATGATAATTTCTGTTTTCCCTTATGCAACTTCGATGGACACTCTCAACCCTGTTTAAGCAACATCTTGCCTCATAAATAAAATTAAAAAAAAAAACAACAGCTGCGTGAGGCTTTTGAGAAAGGCATATCCAAATGCAGTCAAGTGCGGCGAGTTGTGGCCTGCAGACCAATTTTAAATGGCCCGTTGCTTATCGTTCAAAATATACAATGTGGTCCCCTGCACAATATTGCTCAAACAAACAACATCAATATGCTTTTTTCTATTAACCTCATGGTGCAGGACTTTTATACATTTTGTAGACATGCATCAAGAAGGAACTATGCAAGCGGAACTACTTTGTCTTCATAAACAGATGATAAACAAGCACACAAAGAGTTACCCAACAGCAGACATTTCCTGCTAGGTAACAGAGATGGCCACGACAAAGAGGCGCAAAGCTGATAGAAAGTGTTTTGGTTTTTTTTTTAATAACCTACATAAAGGGAGAAGCCCCCCCCCCCCCCCAAATGATCTAATCTGGCCCCCATTCAAAAAGGTTCAGACATCCCTGGTTTAAGAGATCAAGAGAATTGATATCACTCGTGTTCTTTCCTCACTTCACCGGTTAGTTTTAGAGCACTTCATCAGCCTGAATCCTGATTAAAGGCTAAAGACATTATTGTGTCACATTTATACATTTTCTCTCACATGTATTACCTGACTTTACTTGTGTCTTGGTTGCATTTTGTAGTCCTAGAATATTATAAAGGTTTATCAGCCCATCATTAATATCGTCCAGTATTCGCCTTGTTCATTGCCACTGGCCTATCTTCAAATAAGATGGCAATCCCCTATGGCAGTGGCCGATATGTTTCTGTTGTGTTGCATCAATTTTGTGCTGGCTATAAAGCAGGTCTTGAGACTAACAATGCCCCATTGTCCCAGGGGCAGTAGAAAAAAATGCTTGTGTTCTTTAACCCTGAGAAGTCGTCAGGGTAAGAGAACACAGTAAACTCGATATGGATGCGTCATGGGGACACAACCGATTGTTTCTCTGGTGCTACATTGTAAGCAACAAATCCATGTTGAAATCAGCAGGAGAAGAGTTAGCTAAAATTAGCTGTTTGCAGCCAATGGCCGGAAGTAACTGCTGATGGAGGTTGCATTGAGTTACATTATGATGCGTTCAAGCTCTTATCAGTAAAAATGACTTTTCAGCAAATGTAATAGGTCCTGATGATGTGTTCGAATGTAATTTAAAATGTAGTTTTTGGTGAGAAACTTGAATAAATCTATTCATTTGAAGAATAAATCTCTTGATATTTTCATAGCAACATAAAATAGATTTTAGAGAGGGGATTATGATGTATTATATGTAGTAAACAGGCTTTTGAAGTTGATAATAATTGTTTTTCATGTGAACGGAAGGTAATTAAAAGGTTGTTTCATTGTGTATGACTGAATGTGTGCTCATGCGACAGTTGTGTTACGCAGGATTGAATGACTTTAAAGCAGTTCAGTTGTTTTATTGTAATGAAGATTTCTTTATTTCCCTTGCACAGAAGGGGAATAAATAACAAGTAAGGAATGATGAGGTCTCCATTATCAGTTTTGGTGCCAACGTGGAGGCGTGAATGGTCCCACGCGCATTGTTTGAGCGTTTGGTCACTTACCAAAGAAATAAGAAGTAAGAACATTCATTTCTATTTTTATACTTTTTGCAGTCAAACTCAAAAGTTTTTGACAAGCTATGACTTGGGAGTTTAACTAACACCTGGAACAATCATTACCACCCCTTAAGGTACTTATGGAAATGTAGACCTGGCAACGGGAGATATTTCTATTTCATTTAGCTCATAGAACACTTTGGTACCAGCTATTAGCCGGGAAGCTAACATTATGCTAGCAAGATTCAGAGTCAATAACATTGCATCCCCCAATTAATAACAAGATTTTCACAAATGATGCACCACGTGTAATGTTACTGTCGACTGCTGCCTGAAGTATCGAGTTGAATAGTGGATGGGATGTGAAATGATTATGCTCAGAGGGGCAGTGTCGTACCTGCAGTGTGTGTTACAGTCTCCCTCCTGTTAGTGATGTCCAAATGAAGCTTCATGAACCACCAGTTGTATTTGCAGAACCCACTAGATGACGCACTTGGTGTAATGAAAAAGGCTCAAGGGATGGCGATGCAGTTTGGTGTCAACCCTTTGTTGAACAAAGAGTGCCGGAGTGGACTCAGAAAATAAAGGAAATGGTTCATGAAGCGTTATTTGGCCATTGCTAGTTGAAACCAAACTGCATTACCATCCCTTGAGCCTTTTTGATTACACCAAGAGCGCCATCTAGTGGGTTCAGCCAATACAACTGGTGGTTCATGAAGCTTCATTTGGACATAACTACCTGTGGTGTTCAGAGGATGAAGCACTGAAGGCGACACTCAGTGTTGTAAATCAATTGTAAACAGAGGATTTGGCTGCGTCCCTAACTCATATTAGATTCATTTAAGGCAGTGAACAGACTGTTTAACTGCAGCTACTTAGTAGGTGTCCATTAACAGTTTTCAATGGACCCCATTCAGCCGATCAGGATCGAGTATTTACCAAGACCATGGTGAAACCACAGAATAAACGACAACAACTAAAACACATTGATACTGGCGATTGGCCAATAGTTATTTTAAACATTGGTATCAGTATCGGCCCAGAAGTTAACAATCAGGGCATCCATAGTTTCTATGTAAAATACCTAGTTACTTTTGTGAAAGGTGCTATTTGATGAAGTTTATTATTTTGTATGTTTTTTTTTATGTACCTTCACGGAGAGAGAGAGAGAGAGAGAGAGAGAGAGAGTATGTGTCTTTTTGCGTCATACTCACACTGTAGGAATGTACTCCCCGGGGAAGGCATTGGTTGTGTAGCTGATGAGAAGACATGTTTTTCCCACCGCTCTAGATCACACAAGTAAAAACACATACTGTGAGACATTATGAACAGGCAATATCAATGTTTCAGGCTAAAAGAGACGAAGACAGTGAGAGAAAGACTGATAACAGGCAGGTATTTATTAGGAGATGTAAGCTTTGTCCTGAGCCCATACTACACACTGACAACAGCAGAGAGAAAGTACAATCCCTTCATTTTCATAGTATCCTTTTCTTAGAATTAGTACACAAAGTCAGCACACTTATATAATTCACTCTGCAACTGTGTGATGCCAATAAAACGTCACACAGGGAGAGCAAACTGTATTTCCAAAGACTGTAGCTCCTATATTTTAATTTAGCATTGCACTGTGGGACAACTGCACCACTGTATATCATCAGTGTGAATTCAAACCATAGTTGGATTTAGTGTGTAGCATGGATTTAGGACACAGTAATATCATAGAGGAGGAAGAGAATGAGGGATGGGTGAGCTAATAGACTGATCTTACAGTCATCACATGTACAGTATCACAACTTTATTCTACACAGTATTCGCTTTATGCCACATTTTTTTAATGGATATTGAAACATTACATCCTGTAACATGTTCATTTTTGGATCGCAGTTAGCAGCTTGTCTGAACTTCCACAGTGATGAAATAGCATGGCTGCATGCAGGAGGTGATCAAACAAGTACAAACTGGCCCTGTTCTTATTTTGTTCCAGAGTTCTGCTCTCAGTAGTTCAACAATAACACCAGAACTCGTGGCCTGTCTTCACCAAGGCACTGACACACGGAGCACATAGCATTCTGGATGAATCTGTGAGAAGGTGAGAAGTTTCGACGAGTTTCTTCTGATTTCTTTTCTTTCTTTCTTTTTTTTTTTTTAAATTAAACAGATGTTGCAAAGCAAGAAAGAGCCTGTCATGAAACCAAGTGATCTGCCGCTCCAGGCCTAAATGTTCAATCTGTGGTTTGCCTTTAAGGATGATCACACTTTTGCTCACATACAAGCTATAAGCAGGCATGTCTTGGCAAGACTGTGCCCAATTAATAAGGAACTTATCAGCTTATAAGAGGCAACCTCCGGCGCTAAAAAATGGAAGGCAACACAGAAGTGACAAAAACTGCAGTTCCTTGAATGGCCACTTGAGGCCAGCACCAAGAGTGAGTCAGTCCCTTTAGACCCCCATGTTAAAGTGACCAACTTTACAGTAGAAATAAACATGTTTACAGGCTGTTTATGAGGTGTGGCTGCAGTCTGAGCCAGATCCACCTCTAGGTCTTCTACAGTCCACCCTCTGGTCCAAATATGGTCATTTCTGGTTCCAAAAATCCAAGATGGCACCGGCCGAAATGCCAAATTCAAGGCTTCAGAACAGGAGTCCACGAACCAATGGGTGATGTCAGTGTAGCTACTTCCATTATTTTAAAAAGTCTTTGCTCATTATCCACAATCACAGTCCCTCCTGTAGTTCATCACCACCAGCATTTAAAGATCCCGAAACCCGTTTTTCCAATCAGCCTCAATTAACTGACAGAGTTAGAACGATACAGGACATATCACGTGAGAGATTTCTGTACTGTGTTATTTTTCTGTTGAAGTTTCTTTGTTGAAAGAGAGCATTTGGTTTTAAAGTCAAAGACTACATAAACCAAGCATCAAAGCTCATTCTAGACTTGGAAAACCTTTTTGACAAAATAATCTTAGCTGCTCGTTTGCTTGCTGTTTGCCTTGTTTGTCAGTTAAAACTCCATTCACTGATGAGAGATGGGGTGAAAAGCAGTGGGAACGGCTAAGTGGACCTCATGACCAACAAGTAGAGAAGGACAATGAGTGTTTGAAAAGTGGAATCTAAATGCTGCAGTCCATTCATAATCACAGCTATTATTGATGCATGATTCAGGCAACATCATCAGCATCAGCTGAGCAACAAGTCAGGGGGATTTTCTGTAGTTAAAGCTCTTTTTAGAAACATCGGGTTATATTTTATCAGATCAGAAAAGGCGTCAGCTCTGAAGTGTGTACAGACAAACAGCCTAATTGGATTAGCAGCTAAAGCATGCATTGTTTGAGACTACGGTAGAGATGAGGGGGCCCAGGAAAGGTGCATTACACAATAGCTGAGGTACAGTAGCCAGATCTGTTCAGCACCATGGGTAACAACCAGGAAGATTACAGAGATGAGTATGTGTCTCTTTACCCAGCACCGATAAAATGGTGTGACTTTCAGAGTAAGTTTGGGGTTGGGACTGTTTTGTGTTAGTTCATGCATATCACAGATACACACACAAAAAAACACTTGTCTTTCTTGATGTTTAGCCATGCAGATAGTTTCACTTCTAGTTGCCATGGTACACAATCATGCCAGATAAAAATTTCCCTTGGACAACTCCTGCTGCCAGGCAATGAAGGTGGCTGGAAATTTAGTTTGTGGTGCAACATTAAAAAGTCCCACCTCTTTAGAAAAACTGTGGACAGTTTGCAGTATTTTTGATGGAAAGATGTTCCCAATGGACACGGGGAGATCTGTATATATATGTGTGTGTTTTTCCTCAACAGAGGATTGTCTTTTAGATGATCTGGCTGTGTCTAAACACACTTTGTCTTACACAACACATTCATTTTATTTGTGTGCACATTGCCCTCAAAAAATACAACATTGATTTAAAAAGAGTAGTCTCCATAGCATTTTAACATTTTTGATTTAACAAACAAATGCTAAACCACTGAGTGGCTATTATGTGGGGGATGGTGAATCAGGTTTGTACTTATACCTACGAAAAGTAATGCACCAGAATTCTTATAAAACTCACGTAGTCTTCAGCCAGTAATTCATTTATGACTTATGTAATTATAAAAGCTTTCTAAGGTACATCTTCACCATGTTTTTTTTTTACCCAAACCTAACCTCCATAACTTTAGTTTCCTAAACCTAATCTACGAACGTTTACGTTAAGTACCTAACACAACGACATCCAACCATGATTGTTTTCATAAACCTAGCCTACATAACTTTACTTTCCTAAACTTAACATGATGACACCCAGCCATGATAATTTTCTTAATCTAACCTACGTATCTTAATGTTAAGTATGTAATGTGACAACGTCCAACCATGATTATTTTTCTAAACCTAACCTACGTTACTTTACTTTCCCTACTTAACTTGACGTGAAATACGTAACGTGATGTCGCCCAACAAAGATGCCTTCCCTAAACCTACCCTAGTCTCGCTCACCAGACCTTTCTCAAGAAAATAAAGGTCTGGCTGGGCCGACTCTCACTTTAAGATTGGAGAAAAATGCCCCGGCTGCTTGTATTTCTTTCAACCAATCACAATCGTTCTGGGCGGTGCCACAGCAACAGTGCGCTTGCAAAAATATTGCCGGGGGGAAACAGGTTTTGGTGTAACACGCCCACAAAAATATCTCCTACAGGACTTTAACCATGGCAGAAAAATTGCTACATCCCCGTAAGATCAAACACCGCAAAAGTTAGTAAAGGACGTGTTGAAAACGGTTGAAAACTGCTACACAACCAGAGGTGGTAGTGCGGGACTTCAGCGGGTGGCTCGTTCTGCCCAATGAGAGGCTGATCTATGTAGCGAATTTCCGCCCACTCAGACTAAACCTACCCTAACCTGCAGGGGCACTACTTTTTGGGGTTTTTTTTACATATCAAACAAACCATTGAGGATATGGGAAGTGATGTCAGACACAGTCTTTGAGCACAAAAACGGAAATTTCCCTCCGCCCTGTTATATTTGGGTAGTGGCAGAAACATTAGCTAGACTCAGTGGAGGATATTTTGATCTGTGCTCATAAAGCTAAATTGTATGCATGGTTTGATACCACTAGAGATATCAGAAAAAAATATGTCTTATACATATACTATATCTATAATCTGATGTGACCCTATAGAGAGAAGCTGAAAAAACTTAGTTAACTTTATAAAAATGGGTACACCAAAGATCTCTTGAAGATTTTGTAACAAAAAAAAAAAAAAATGCTGTGTGCGTATAGATCAGTCTGTCATCATAAGGTGGCATTTTAAATAAGGCCAGCCCAGGAACAAGATGACTCAGTGGTGGTATGAGCAGCCCAGCTGTCAACTAAGAAAAGCTTTGCGTGTCTGTGTGGGTACTTCTATCTTAGTGAGGACCAGTTTGAGTTTTAGACATTGAGTTTGATGACATGTTGTCAAGTTATTGAAGGATTCAGACTTGGTTTTACAGTTAAGGCTTAGGTGAGATGTTTAAGTTTGGGTAAGGCATGCAGTTGCGATAGTTAAGGTTGGGAGTGTGGGTGAAGGAGTGTGTTATGTCAGTAAAGGCCCTCAGAAGTTTAGAAGCGCCAGCACTTGTGTGTTTTGTGGTTGTGAGTGAGTCAAATAGGAACTGATCAGTTTCAGAAGCATCAGTTAGGCTACTGAAAACAGGAACCAACCAAACTCATCTCACAAGAAAAAAAAAAGAAAGACTTCAACCTCTGTTCTGTCTCTGTCTCTCTGTTCTTAATCTGGTTTTCCATCAACTTTTCTGTCCCCTGTTGACGCCATCCTACATCATTTGGTTTTAGCTTGCAAACTCCTCAAAGGAGATTAATTTTCACTCTGTCTCTGTCTTTCTATTCTTCACCCTTTTCCCCAGAGAAACAAGATCATTAGATCTTGCTTGTATTTCCTCCTCTGTATCTTACTCTCTTTTTCTCTTATTTCATGTCCGCCTGCTGGTTAGGATCTCGTAACCATCGCAGCAACGGACTTTCTATCATTTCTTCCATCTTAGTTTGTGAAACCCCCGTCTCCCTCTACTTGGTTCAATCCACAAAGCACAAGCCGCAAGAATTAGTCAAATGGCTTCGACTACATTGAAGCAAAAAGATGTCAAGTAGTTAACCACAAGTCTGTTTTTAAGGCTGAGGGTATGAGAGGAAAGCTTTAATGTCTATACAAGAGGCAGTCAGGCTCCGTTTTTATTAGTTGAGTTTTACATGAGATTTTAAATACTTCTGTTTTTTTT